GGAGAGGCGGAAGGAGAAGGAGGAGGAGAAGGAGTAGGGGCGGCAGGGGGAGGTGGGGGAGGCGGGGGAGACGAGGGGGAAGGGCGTGGGGTGCAGGGCAAGGCCCGCTTGGTGGGGGGGAGAGAGGGGGGTGAGGCGCAGCGAGGAGGGGAGGAGGCGGGCCGAACCGGAGGTGAGGAGGGGAGAGGAGGAGGTCAATCGGGAGTAGGAAAATGATGGGGGGGAGGAGGCTGCTGTAATTTGTGAAAAGGGGGTGGGAGCGGTGGGAAAATGGAAGAGAGGGAGCAAAGGGGACAAGTTGTGCACGGTGAGGGAAGGAAAGAGCGAGGTGAGAGTGTTGTTTGGAGGAAAAACGAGCAATGATTTCACACCAAAGCATCATCCGCATTGCAGTACATAGAGAACAATGCATGTGGCATGTGGCATGTGGCATGTGGAATGAGCTCGCAAGAATGCACTCCCACAAATGTGTTCCCACCGTCATGCAAGAGAAACCGCCGATTCATTGAACCAAGCAGCCCACCAGTGCCTCTGTGCGCACCTGTGCCTCTGTGCGCACCTGTGCCTCTGGGAGCCACTGTGATCAGATCCACATCGATGCTCCCCACTGCCGTTTCCGCTGACGTGAGCGCCCCGCCTTCCACCGCTGCCGCCTTGGCAGACGATGAAAAACCTCCCAACGCAGATGTACCCCCAAGCACCGAGGCAGTTCCAGGCACAGACGCAGCTCCAGGCACGGAGGCAGCTCCGGGACCGGTGGCAGCTCCAGTCACGGACGCAGCTCCAGGCACAGACGCAGCTCCAGGACCGGAAACAAAGCCAGACGACGTGTCGCCGCTGCCGCCGTCCACCCCAGCGCCCTCGAGCAGCACGAGGTGCAGAGCAACGCCTTGCGGCGGGAAGGATAGAGCAGCGGCGGAGGCGGAGGAGGGAGGGAGCTGGAAGGAGTAGGGCCCGTGCTGGCGCCAGGGCAGCAGGCTCGAGAGCGGGAGAGGGTTGGCATCGTCTGTGCGGCAGGGAACGCCAATGGTCCATTGATGCAGCACCATTATCTCTGCTCCTCCGCTGCTCATATCTGCTGCTAGCGCGCTGGCCAGCTCGCCCTCGTCCATGCTGCTGCTGCTTCCAGCGTCGCCACCGTTGCCAGTGCTGCCTGTGCTGCTGCCATTGCTGCTGCTGTTGACAGTGGGTGGCAGGGGCAGGGCAACGATCAATGCTCGCATCGGCCGTACTCCAGGGGTCATGTACATATCAAAGCCGCATTCCCGTGCCCTTGCATAGAAATACAGCGAAAACTCCCCCTGCTGCTGCTGCTGCTGTTGCTGCTGTTGCTGCTGTTGCTGCTGCTGTTGCTGTTGCTCCTCCCCCTTGGCAACACACAGCAGCTGCCCCACCCCCGGCACTGGCCACGCTGTGCCCCCGATCTCGCTCGGCGCGCTCCCCCAAAGCCCCCCGCCACTGTTGCCACTGCCGTCGCTGGGCTGCAGGCGAACGAACCGACCGCCCTCAGCAGCAGCGGACGGGTCCCCGGGCGGAATCTCCCCTCCTCCTTCCCCGTCCCCCGCGCCCTGCCCTTGCTGCGCTGCTGCGCCGCCGGGGAAGAGCGGCACCCAGGAGGACAGGGGCGAGGGCCAGTCTGCTGCTGCGTCGGACGTTTCCTCGAAGCCCGCATTGCGCAGGAGGTTCAACGAGGGAGCTGCGGGGCGATGGGGGGAGGGGAGGGAGGGAGAGGAGGGAGGCGAGAGCGGGGATTAATGGAAGAGGAAGCTCCAGTGAGGGATAAGCGCGAGACCAATGGGCGGGAATGTCCGGGATGCTCGAGGGGATGGGAGGGGGTTGGGGTGGGGCGGGGGGGGGGGAGGGGGGAGAGAGGGGTGGCAGGGGAGGGAGGGGGTTGGGAAGGGGTGCGGGGGGAGGTGTGGGGTTGTGACGCAATTTCCCACGGGGAGAGGGAACAATGAGGGGAACTTTTGAGAGGTCGCACTGCGACGAGGGGAGTTTTCGAAAGGTCGCACTGCGACGAGGGGAGCTTTCGAGAGGTCGCACTGCGCGACGAGGGGAGCTTTCGAGAGGTCGTAGGCGGCTGCGATGGGGGGAGCTTTCGAGAGGTCGCACTGAGGTCGCGAATATCAGTACTACCCTGAACTGCGAGGTTATCTTTAGATTCGTCGCAATGAAGAATACCTTGAGCTGCGAGGCTAGCGCATGTCGGCACGGCGGCGTTGGCGACGGCGACGAACGAGTTGAAGTGCGCGGTTACCATCAGGAGGCGAAAAGCGGCGACGATGAGGCCGCTGCCTGGACTCCAGGCGCCACGTGGAGCCCGCTGGCGATTGGCGGCATGCGCTGGATGAATCCCAATAACCAAGGACCGCTTGCTGCGCTTCGAATCCACATCTTCTTGCGCTGGATGAATCTCAATGACCAAAGACGCGGCGGGTGACACGCCGCTACAGATTGACTCGTTAACGATACTGAGTGGTCGATTCGCGTGTGGCATGGAGATAAGTTCCGCGAGAGCGCGCGGTTGCGAGGAAAGGAGAGGCAGAAGGAGACTATAAGGCTGATGATGGAAGCATGGCGCGAGAAGATAACTTCTCTTAGCGTCGCTTACCTCTGCATTTTCTAGAATGATGAATCCTGGTTCGCGTCCCAAATCACACCAACCCATGGTAGCGTCCCAAACCAGGATTCTATGAATCCTGCATTTTCGGGTGGCAAATGTGCACCATCCCTAAACCAATCTGGATCAAGGTTTGGGAGCGTATGTATTCGGCGGAACATAGAGCTCCAATGGCTTCTCCAACGGCTCATGCTCGAACTCTCGCCGCGCTGCACCACGCTTGTATCTGATTGACCACACCAAACTGCTTTCAACCTCTCTGAATATCCAAACATAACCCTTGTACAACCTTTCTGTTGGATGTGGGAGGCTGCTAGATGGACTGCTAGCAGCACGTGATTCAAGGAGTGGAATGATCTGCTCTGCGGCGGGGCTGCGATGGCCTGGCGAGGTGTGATTGTTGGTTGGTTGTGGTGGAGTGGAGTGGTTTGGCAGAGGGCGAGGGAGGTATCGTGTACATCGTCGCGAGTCGCGACCAAGCGAGCAAGCGAGTCTTTTTGGCTGAACCAGCGGGGCGGTGCAGCCTGCAGTGCTGGAGATTGGGGGGAACCCGACGACTGCAAGCTGTGTGATGTGATGGGGAAATGATCAGATTGGGGCCCCGAAGCTCTAGAAAGAGTGCCAAACTGGGGCCTCGTGTGTCGCAACGTGTCGAACCTGGTCCGGACCTGTTTCTAACCAATTTCGGGCCTCACTAACGCGCTCTGTCAGACCTGACCACACAAGGTGACGGATTTCTGAACGGACAAGCTGGCAAAAATTATAAACCCCGAACGGGCATGCATTCGGTCAGGGAGGCATCAACCCTAAACACCTTGTCGCATGTGTTTAGGGTTGATGTCTCCTTAATTTTATGCCTTCCGATTGGGTTTTATATTTTTTTCACACTGCGATAATATTTTTGGGGTAAAATGTTAAAATTTTGGGTTATTTCGCTGAAGTATCTGTACTGCCCATTGTGAGTGGGCTGACGATCGCTCCTCCCGTCAACCAGGGTGCTAGCGAAATCCGTCAAACCCAAGCCAGCAGGTGGTGACCTGGCGAGCTCGGCCTAGCTGCCTAGGCTTGTGAATTGCTTCGACCCTATTTCGTAGGTTCGCGAATCACGAGGCCCCAAGTTGGCACTCTTTCTGCTAACCCGAGGCCCCAGTCTGATCAATTCCCGATGTGATGCCCCACCCCCCCCTCACAGCTTCCACACGTTGCATCACGGACGGTCGAGATGCTGTCTGCCAGAGTCGTTGGGTAGATTTTGTTGAAGGTCAACGCACACTGGCCAGCGGTGTCCATTGCTGAAGTGGCTGTGCCCCGTAGGGTTGCATAAAGATCGCTCGTGAAATTTGAGGATCACTACACCCTTGTTCTCGACGATCTCACCGGCGGAAGCACTGGCTGCAGTGTCTGGACGTAACGGGCTGGTGCGATAACTCGGTTGCACACAAAGTCGCACGAGGCGACGAAACAAGGCTTGGGCAGTAAAAAACCGTCTTGCGCTTTATAACCGTCCTAACCTCGTTGAAAACAAGAGTACTATTCTTAAACCATAGAAAAACCAGATTAAAAGCCTTGGGTGAAATTGTCACTATAACGCATGTGATAGGACCTTCTTTGGTCCATTGCGGTTACACAAAGCGTCCCTGTCAGTATACCAGATGTCAGTCTAGCGAGAACGAGAATGTATTACACTCAAGGTTTTTCTTTGTCATCCCTCCCTTGCCCTTGGGGCGTATTTAGGGCGTGTTACATTTTCCATTATTTCGTACGGTTCGGCCGATCACCACTCCGAAGCGTATTGGACCCACTTGGAGAAAGCGTTCAACATAAAAGCCACTTTCAACCGTACAACTCTACGGTTCGTTTCGAAAAAAAATATCGAAAAGGTAACACGCCCGTATTAATTTCTCGCTGTAACTAGTGTCCGTCGCTGTAACTACAGTTCGTCGCCGTAACTAGTCATACTTTTCGCGCTATCCCACGGAACGTACAGACAGAGATTGCCTTTAGGATGCGTCTCAGTGCAATATCAAACCTGCGCAGGTTCGGTGTTCCGCGGATACAACTGTTTCGCAATGTCGTCAAGTATTAGTTTCCTGTTTTCGTCAAGCTTCGCGAATACAACGCAGCTTGGTGACTATTATCGTGTCCCCTCAGGGTTAGGCGATCGATCGTACAACTTTGTCCACATCGGGTTATTTTGTCCCGTAAATTCTCGATCGTGTCCCTTGAGACTCGGAGTCGGCCCGCGATTGCAAACATGCAGTTTGACACATCGATGAGGCGATTGATTTGGCGGGTTCGGCTCCTCCCCGATCCTTCCACGGTTTTTAATTTGTGACGCGTCCTTAGGACGTCTCCACCTAGCTATTTTGCACAACAGATTGCTGCACCACCATTCTTCCTCCGGCATCCACAGGCGAGATCATCATTCGTTTAGTTGCTTATTACCGCTACTTTCAATTCGTAGGGCGTGATGGGGTGGGACGTCGTCGAGGTTGAATATCGATCTGCCACCGCGCTGTGATTTTGCTTATCGCATCTACGACGGAAACCATTCCAATCCTGGGGGAAACTACTCGAACTCTGTCAAATATACTATTTCGAGGGCGATCGATCCTCTATTAGAGGGCCCTCGATGACCTTTGACTTGGCAGGTCAGCGCCTAACGACTGAGTCTACTCGGCACCGACGCATGCGTTCGGTGGCAGTCACTAGTGACTGTGGGTGACAGCGAGCTACCGCAGCAAACTCGGCGGAGTCAGTGCAGGATGGCGTGGGTCTTTGGGAGTTGGGCGTGCTTCTTTGAGAGTCACGCCACTCCTTGCAGTGTTGGCTGGAGTGGCGTGCGCGGAAGTGGTTTGCGTTGCTGAGTTGGGTTGGGAATCGGCCGAAGCGCGTTCACCCACCCACACGACAGTTTCGTGGGGTTGGGTTACTGCGCAGCGCCACGGCAACTTTGTGCAACTCTCCCGTAGCCATATATCTATTGTGTGTTTGCTTGTATGAACTTCATAGTTGATATTACAATTCTACTTGGTTTCTCACTTAGTCATTTGAGACCAACGCTACCCAAACGCTACCGAATTACTGACGCAACATCGTTCCCATAGCCGAAACTCTCTCGTCGTCGTATCGCTCTCCATAATATTCCTTCATGGTGCGGTGAGCGTGGAACGAACACGCATAGATTTCCGTCGTCGATTATAGTGACGTTCGTATACTCACCTTGGCGTGCGACGTTAGTGAAGGACGCTAATTAATTTAAGTTGAACCTTTCTTAATTTCCCTCCAGTTACGTTCTCGGACCCAAGGATAGGGCGTTTGGTAATTTATTACCACTCGTCTGAGGACCCTTGTGAGGTGACCCCGAGACGAGGGATTTAAGGAAGGGACAATTTATTTTAATTTGTGGTACCTTATAGAGGCGTCGTAAAGGATGAGTACGGAGGAGGCGAACGTGGAGACCAATAATTTTCGTGCACTAGAGGAGGATCTCGAGGCCCGGCATTCTCGTGGTGCGATTAGTGATCTCGAATACGATCTCATGCGGGAAGGATTACGCGCTCGTCGGCGTCGCGATCATCCCTCACCACGGGTAGAGCAAGCCGCGGGAGGAACTAGTGCGTGGGATATGGCTGTCAATGGCGGAGATGGCGATGACGAGGAGTTTGAAAGGATGATGTCGCGTGGGGTCCAGCGAGGACAGGCGCGTTTTTGTACGGCTAGCTTTGGTGGCGTACAGGAGCGTGTTCATCTAGCGGCAGCGTCACGAGAGCGTGAGATTGGAGGACGACGGAGCGTTGCTGGAGGCGGAAATATCGAAGGAGTCGATAGTGAGGCTATGCCGGGCGTTACCCCGATTGGATCAATGACGAGGGACGAGGGAATAGCCCCCAACTATGGCTTCTTTAAATTCACTCCAGACAAGATCGTCGTACCTAAGCCGTTAGAAGGACGTCACGACCTGTCGACGTGGGTAGAATCAATCGAGCCTCAGCTTGAGATCGCCCAGCTTAAGCGATTCATCGACGGTACCACACCCGCTCCCCCAGCGCACGCAGTTGCACTCGTCTCACAGTTTCGCGCAATGCAGTTACTGACGTTCACCACGATTTCCCGATGCTGCTCCCCAACCGTACAGATCGCCCTTAAGGCGTGTCGCATGAAGGTAGATGCCGGCTTCCAAGCGTGGCAGTTTATCATGCGCACGTATCAAGCGAAAGACGACCTGTACATAGGTCAGTTAGAGCAGGCGCTCACTAACCTCGAGATGGGAGAGCACGAGTCCGCCACATCCTATTGCAACCGTGCACAGCAGATCCTAGTGAACTTGAGGATGGCCGGCGTAGATTATTCGCAGGCGTCGTACATTACTCACGTCGTGAAGGGGTTGCCGCAGCAGTACAACCTCTTACGCAGGATGCTGAAGCTGCCGCAGGTGCGCAAGGAGTTGGACGAGGACACCCTCGCTAGCTACATTATCGAGGAGGAGTGTACGCTGGCGGCGGAGGGACGGAAGGACCAATTTCTTCCCCAGGCTAACCAAGTCTTTATCAAGAAGGGTAAGCCCCAATTCCAGCAGACTTCATCCCCTTCCCCTCCCACTACGGCATAGCTGCAGCAGCCTAAGAATGGGGGTGGGGTTGGTAGCGGAGGGGAGAAGTGGAAAGGGGCTAAGGATGGTCAGCCGAAGGGGGGGAAAGGGGGCTTCAAGGGGAGATGCTATGTGTGTGGACAGATCGGAGGCGCATGTGGCTAAGTACTGTCAGCAGTGGGCGGATAAGGAGACAGACACTGGTGGAGAGGGTTTATGGAGGTAGCAGCGGCAAGGGGGGTGATGGCTCTAAGGGGAGCGGGCAGTCATCATGTGCGATGGTGAA